TCATCCTTTGCCACGTTCTCATACAGTTAGATTCATCCTATCAGCATATGCTAATACATACCCACAACTAAAAAAAGTGGTTTATACAAATATATATATTGCAAACACACACACTTTACAAGGAATACACAGGCATTCACATATGCACACAATGCTTATACACACACACTTGCACTCACATGCAATCAAATAAATGTGCATGCAAACACAGGCACACACAAATCTGCACACACTTCTAAACATATTTTCCAATGATTAGAGTTCTATTTATTTGATGGCATTATTGTATATTCCAAAGGGTCTCGTCTTTGTATTCTGAAATAGCTCATATTGGGAATCTGTAAAATATTTGCAAAACAAGTTACTACAGTCATTCCTTTTTTTACATATCCATTAATGAAACTGCAGTCTACTTTCTTGGTGTATTGTGTAATTATGTATACATCTCTGCAGCAGTTAATAATTAGCAGCAAATTGGGGAGGTGGGGGGAATAAAAAAAACTGCAATAAAATAAGAACCAAATATTTTTTGAATTTTAAATAAAAGTTCATCATACTCTAATTTGTTTGCTGTTTTTTCTTACCATAAAGCAATTGTATGATTCATGTTGTTTAGGGTATTCAAGTTTATCTTATTATGAAAAACTTAACAAATATCCACCTTTGAAATTCTCTTTATTTTCACAAGATCTATCCGTATAGAAAATATAATTTACGTAAAAACAAACATACTTTGGCATTTATCTATCGTTTATTACACACACAATTATACTGTGACTTAGCAGTTATTGGAATTAATGTACTCTATAGTCAAATGCTGCACCTTTCCTATAACAGCTCACTCAGAAACAAATAGCATTACATATCTAACACTTAAAGCAATATTGATAAAACACATAACACATACACATTGATTTTACAGACAACTTTACAGCAAACTTGGAGACATTCCAGTTTATAAATGTATTCTTTGTTCTTTACCCTTTTACATTCTTCACTTTTTAGAAAAGACATTTATTTACATTTCATTTCATATCTAAACAGAAAAGACAAAGATATTGTTTAGGAGAGAGATAGAAAAAAAATTGTTCACATGTATATGGTGCAAGCAGCTATCTGCAAGTGTTGAATGCCATCACGTAAATGTCCACCTTTTTCTAAGAAATCTGTTTGTAATCAAACAGCTTCCACTGAAAATACTACATATATCATCAATTAATCATCACACTATAAAACTAAATTTGACATAATAATACCCTCATGCTTTTTAAGCCTTTGCTGCATTCAAATAAATATTTCTACACCTGTTATATACTACTGGCATGAGTAACAACTGCATATAGCATGTAATGAGCACAAATTCCCTTTCTACCTGTCCTGTTCAAGACCAGCATATATCATTCATTGTTTCCTAAAAAAAGATTTAAGAAGATTGCATATAAGATCATAATTTGACTACTGAGTAGTAAACACATGTGGAACTCATCATATTCAAAATATGAAAAAAATATACAAAATCTGGAAAAAAATAGAAAGTTTAGAAAATAAGCACAGAGCACAGTTATAGTTTATTATTTTATTAACTTTATGTATTATGACTATCAGAACATTCCATATATAATCCTGAGCAAAAGAGCATATATCTGTATAAGGATAAATAAAAATCTAATCTTAAATTATATAAAAATCCTGCACAATAACAACAACAAAATTATAATCATATGATTTGCCTTTTTATCTTTGAAAAAAAAGAAGAAAAAGGAAAAAGAAAATCTTAGGAACACAAAAAGGTCTTACTTCCATACGGCTATGATTTAAAAAAGAAAGAAAAAATGCACAGGATATTTTGCATCTCTATTTTTAATTTTGTCATAATTTCCATCCAACACAGATAATTATTTTATATATAAAAAGAGTAACTAAACTTCATTATTTTTGGTTTAAAATGTAATTCAACTTCTATTCCACTCCATATCTTAATAAAATATAAAAAATATAAAATAAAAATAAAATATCCAAAGCGAGAAAAAAAAAAGATAAACAGAAAAATTATCAAATACACTATTACACAGTAATGAACATATGTGACCACATCCACACAGATATATATCTATCCATCCATCCATCAAACATCTACACAAATGCACACACATGAATGTGTGTATTTGTGCCAGTGTGTTTATGTGCATATGTGTGTGCTTGTGTGTACTTGTGTGTTTGTGTGCACACACAATTGCATGTCCCCACACATGTGTGTGTACCTGTACATGTGTAGGCCTAACTGTACATGTATTTGTGTATGTGTATGTATATGTGTATGTGTACATGTATGTGTATGTTTATGTGTATGTGTGAATGTATATGGAAGTGTGCTTTTATGTAAGTGTGCACTTTAGTGTGAGCATAAATAAATGTTAAAATTTGTGTACTTGTATGTGCATGTGTGATATGTGAATTCTGTCTTTCCCAAAAATACTGTTTGGATATACATTTTTTTTTCCTTTCATATGCTGACATTCAAGATTTTCAGCATTGCAGCACTATCTCTGAACAGTCTATAAAAAATTCCTGTTAGCAATTTGAGACACTTTGGACATTAAACTCTGCCTTTAGCTCTAAGTCAGACAGATGTACAGACACAGACGCAGACAGACACATGCACACAGGATGGTAACTGGTCAATGGCCTCTGCAGTGAGTGCAACTCTCGGACCTGCACTGTCCACATGGCTCCTGCTGCAGCAACCCGTTATCCAAAGCTACAACAAGAGTTGGTTTTCCGGGCGGTCTTGTAGAAGGTTTTCGACTGCAGGCTGAGCATCTCTGATTTGTTGACCAGGTCGTCCAGCTTCTCCCCTCGCTCTAGCACAGCCTCAATGGTGTTGTGCTGCAGAAATGAGTGTATTTTTTATTTAAAATGGTGTGGTTCCATTTTTTAAATTAGACTTTAAATATTCTGAAACAAAAAAATTCAGTTCAATATTACTCAAACTGAAACTTCATAATTGATCCAAAGCTGTCAAGAACATGTAATGTCCACAGTAATATTGCTTTATTAAATGTAGTTACACAAAAGATGGCCCCACAATAGCAAAATCATCAAGGAATCAATTAGTAAACCAACATGACTCCCCTTTCCTTGAGTTTTCAGGGAAATTTTGTTTTTTCTTTTATTACTATTATTGATGGCCTTGGCATGTATACACAAGCCGTCCTATCGGCATTGGCTTAACCACCCATTAGGAAAATGACCATGTGCTGTATAAGCAAGGAGTTTTATGACTGTACCAGCACTAGCTCTCAGCTAAATCCCCATTTTTGTATGGCTTTATGGAAAATAGTTTTTGGCATTTTCAGAACCAAAGACAATGTGGAGAAAATGTTGTTGCCCCTTTCTAATTCTTGGACTATGCAGACATTGAAATCAATTAGAAAAAAACTCTCAGATTGGGCTATGTTGGTACCATAAAAAAATAAAAATAATGTTATGAAAAGGTTTTATTTTTATTGTCTCTTGAGATATGAGATGTGAGAGACTTAGTAAGTCACAAGATCTTCCAGAACTTCCAGAAATTTGAAGATGACTATTTAAGGTGATATTTGGGATCTATAATCTGAAGCAGTACTAAAAAAAATATTACGAATTAAGAACTAAAACTTTATAGCTACAGCCTCATTTTCTTCTTATGCATGAGTATAAACTTTCTGTCATGACTATATTCACTTTTAAGAGAACTCCAAGGCATGTAGCAGCCATAACATTTGCCCACTATATTTGAGATTTGGGCTATAAATAGTTACATGTTATGTAAACTGATGACATGCAGGTAGTATCACTATTGCATATCATCCCTAAATCTGCCCTGCTATCCACTTATTCCCTATATACTACAAGTACTTTACATGCTAGGAATTCGAAGACTAGTCATTCATTCACTCCAATAAGCTTAACCTTGTTCTAAATTTCTGAGTAAATATCACAATTTCTCTGTTCCACAAACTAGTTTTGAGAAATAGCCACTGAAGTTTCTTAAATGTAGAACAAATGGAAGAAACAAGATGAGCAAACCCTGGCTCAGTCAATAGTGAAGTGGAGACTACTTCACTGATCACCGTCTTCCCTTACTCTACATCAACAAGCAAAGTACATTAGGAAAAGGAAGCTAAAGATGGTGCAACAGGTCATACTTGTTACAAGTACACTGTTGCCTTCCACAACCATTGCTAAGATTATTTTGAGCATTTCATATATAGTATGTTGTTATAGGTCTAAAGATTTCTGACTGGGTTTAACATTACAAGAATTTTAGCCCAAAGGAGTCAAGTATCACCTTAAGGGGAATGTCCCTGAGGAGGGGGGGACATGGGGTCAAATTGAGTTAGCTAGCATATAGTATAGGTACATGGATGAGGAAACTACCAAACGAGTATTAAACGCCTGCTATGGCTTGTTGTCTTGCAGACGACGCGAGACCTGCTGAACACCTGGGGAGGCATGTCCCTAACGAGCACCCAGGTACACCTATGTGGACTTCTGTTTGCTGCAATCGTGCATACTGCATTTGATTATGGCATTGTGCATAGATATGAGTTTGTGAATGTTCAAGGAACACTTTTATACCAATATCAGGAAAAGAATGACGAAAGATTTTGTGAAATATATCTAAAAAATAATGTAAGTTTTGTGTCCTTTTATACACGAAATATGCTTCTATCAAGACTCCCTGGTAATATGTTGTAGGTTCCAAAGTAATCTGTAGGTATATCACTTACAAAGCACTAATGTTTGAAAATAGCATTATAATTAAGGATTGAAATATTTCCACTACATTTCGCTCAATGGTCGGTACATTATGGCATCGGTAAATTTGATTTGATTTGTGAAATTGGTCATTGATGAAATTGGTCGTTATCGCTCTGAAGAGGACTTCATTATGAAGGTCACCAAATAATCAGATTTTTGAACTTCGGATGTATAAGCGAGATACTGATTATTTCATATTGAAGATGATAGTACTCAGTAATACTTGCTCTGAAATAAAAACTATATGGAATTTTGATCTCGATTTTATGCGCAGTCTTTGTCTAGAGTTGAAAGAGCTATCGCATCTGTTTTGTGCATTTCCGATAAAAAATAATACATTTAGACGTTACCGTAGGTTTTAGGTACCATAAATTCACAAGTATCCCACCACACCTAGGTGTCTGCATGATTTTATGTACTTCTTATTAAAGATAATGGGTGCAAATGGCTAATCAACAATGCTACACTCGTTTCCCTTTGCAATCTACTAATATTGACAATTATCGAAGAAAACAGCTTGTAGGGTAACTAATATATTTTATTCCTTTAGACATAAGAGTGAATGTAGGCCTACTAAATAAGGATGATTAATTTTTGTTTTCTCTATGTGTGTGTGTTTATGAACATATGACACTCCTTCGAAAATTAGAAACACCCAGTGATCACGCAGTGATCAGCGAAAAATAACAGAGATAACGAACTTGGCAAGCTGCCAAAATATAATACGCTGTATTTCTGTTCTTAGTTTTCATGACCTTCTGTATGTAATGGGGCTTGTAATTTTTGTGTAATTCAAATGCAGTTTCTTGCTTTCGCTAGAGCCTCGGAGCCCTGAGGCCGTGTAATAGTCCGATTTTTAAATTTTGACCCTAATAAAAAAATATAATTTTTTTAATACTGAAAAAAACAGACAAAAAATAGTTCTCTATGTCAACCAGTCCCCCCCCCCCCAAAAGGAAATTCAAAAATCAGGTTATTACACGGCCTTAGGCTATGATAGATCTAACACATGAATTTTTTGTGGATTGTTCAGCAAAAAACTGTGGGCCACATTATGTACCGAAGAAGAGGGGGGAGGGGGAATCGACTTACCAAAATGATCTTAGTTTCCTCAACTTCCTCTTGTACACGAGTGAGTGCATCGGCCTCCCTTGGGTTTTGCCAGCGGGTGAGGGTAGCTGGCAGCTCTGAATAGGGAATTGCCGACTCCTCTGTGCTAGGCCACAGATGGGCAGGAACTTTAGCAGCAAAATCATCTAGCACCTGCAAGACACACAGAATTAATACATGGAGAATGAGAGGGAGAGGGGGAGTTGGGTGAAAAAAGCAGTGTGTGGATCTCTGAAACTATTGATATCAATACTTTTGTCATCATTATTGATATTATGGTTATTTTAATTCTATTAACAAATGGAAATGAATCATAAATAAAATATTTCCAAAAATTAATGGGAATACAGGTGAGATGGGTTGAACTATTGATTGACTCCTTGGTGACAAAGCACAAGTGAAGCCATCAATGCATAAGCACAATAGCCCAAAATCATAGTCAACAATCCACAACAGCAATGGGTAGGAAAAAAAGAAAAAAAGAAAAAAAAATCTAAAATCAACAAAATTCATCTGATGCTACCATTCTAATAGAGTAATTCAACATAAAAAATAGCAAATCTTGCACTAAACTATTCAATAACATAAATAAAGAATAAAAAAAGAGGCCTTTAAATCTGTCTTTAAACAAAACACTAAATCAAATAATAATGATAATTCTCTTTGTTACTAACCTTGTTTATCATGTTATGCGCCACTCTGTACTGGTACTCATGGTCTGATATGACGACGCCTGCCAGGTTATCTGCCCTCACATACACATGGCACATATACTCTGCAAATGGGAAAAAAGTGTTATTATATGACAGAGAAATCAGTAACAATCTGATCAAAGGATATAATCCATAGCCTCCAGATGATGTGTGATTCCCATCATGGTTGACTTAATTGTGGTTCTGGGTAAGGGCCGGGTCCAGAGAATTTTCTGGTGGGAGCACAATAAATCTGGGGGGGTTGCCCAAAAGTAAAAAAAAAAAAATGAGGCTGCCCACTTCAATATTCACATTGTACAGACACATTGTTCATGTTTTCATCTTGCTTTTCTTGGCCACATTCAATCTGCTGGGTGTTCTTTTACGAAGTGGTAGGCAAACACACAGAACACTATGATGTTTGCTGTACAGTTAGTCAGATGACCATTGTGGAGGCACACGGGGTGGCCAATCAGATTGCAGGGGGGGCGGGTTCCCCCCAATGCCAACATGGAAGCCCCGCTTCTATTCTGGGTGAAGGTCATTCCCATCATGGCCAACTTGGGAGCAGCTCCAGGTGACAGGTCATTCACATGTTACAATGATGCATGCATTACATCTTATGCTGTTCTTTATAAGGTACCCTCTAGCCAACATGCCCTGGGGCATTGCCTGAGGCAGAATGAGATATGTAATTTTACGATTGACTATTGCTTTATATAAAGGGTGATTTTAGCCCCTATGACTCGAATAGAGTGACTATCGAGTCATGAAAAAATCTGGTTTGTGGGGTGGGTGATGTGAACATGTCCTCATGGGAAAATCTGGTTGAGGGCTGGGATGATGGGAACTTGATGTCATGAAAATCTGGGCTGAAGGCCAAGGTGAGGGTAAT